CTCAAAATCATTAACTCCTATAATAAAACAGATAAATAGACTGTCCAAATTAATAATTAGAATCATACCATGGCTCCATTCATACTGTGGTCTTCTTAAAAGTATGAGCAGAAAACTCATAGTGTTAGAAAGACAGAGAAAGCAGCTCAAGTTTTACTGCCAGTTCAGCCTACCACAGGACTCCAAATAATAGCACTATTACACAGTACTGTAGCCAAAGCTATCCTGGCATCCCAGAGAAGAAAAACAAGCAGCCCACATATAAAAACAATAATTTGTTAAGTTTCCATGAACAACAAATGTGTACAGTGCAAAAGGCTACATGGCAGCATCCTCCTCCATCCAGCACCCTCCCCTCAAGCAGGTTGTCCTTGCACTGCAAACCACTCCTCTGGGCATGCTGGTGACTGTCATCGTTGCAGCATGGGCCCTCACAGCAGAGCCTGTTCTAAAAAAGGCTGCAGAGATTTAGGCAGCAACACCACCTTAAAAAACAAACCAACCCCACCCCAGTGGAAGAACACACCAGCAATAGGAAACTGCAACTGCAGAAGAAAGAGCCTCTAAAAACTGTAAGGGAACAGCAAGAAGGTACCTCCCTGTGCATAACTGATTGATGAGTAAACAACCCATAAGAAACTAAGCAGTGAAAATATTTGTTTAAATTAGTTTACCTGGCTTCATTTCTATCCCCACAACATTTTGATGCTGGAATCCAGAAAGGGCTCAAATTTCCCTTTCTACCTTCTACAAGCTCCTATTGAAGTGAGTTTGTGTCAGGCAAATGAGAGGGCTTCCTCTTCTAGTTTTAAATTTTGTTGGGTTTTGTGGGTTTGGAGTTTTCATCAAAGAATTCTTACAAAGTGGAAACATTAGCTCCGAACCACTTGAAAGAGAACTCCAAGCCTTACAGTATAAAATTCTGTCACTGATACAAAATAATCTGCTGCCTACAGGCTTATTTAGAAGAGCATCCTCCTTTCAAGCCTAGCAATTCGCAAGTTTCAAACAAACTTTAGGCTCAGTAACTATTCCAGTACAAACCTCTTTTAGATGCCCTCTTGCACATTTGCTGAGGTTATAGCGCTCGCTCACTAGAATTTAAGTATTGCCAACGACAGCAAGTATCTGTACTTTGCTCAAAACAAGTGAGAAAAAGAGTATCTACTCATTTGGCTGCCAACTGGGACTTTTCAGCTTGTGAATCATAAGATATGCAGGATATGCATACAGGGCTGCACAGAACAATTGTTTCTGTTTTGAAGAGTTCTTAAATTCAGAATGAAATTGCTGGAGGGTTACTAGGCAATTATCTCTCTATGCATCTAATCCCCACTGACACTAACCACCCAGGGAGCAGATATTGGTTCTTTCTGGGGTCCATCCCTGCAATCCATCCTCATCACACCATTTTCAGTAACACTCTTTAGATTAAAGATTCTCCAAGCCACAGTTAAGCTTTACAAGTTTCTATCCTTTGTGTCCTGTTTCCAGTAACTGTGGTACAGCTTTCTGCAGGTCTCAGCTTGCAGAAGTAATAGATGTGAGAAGCTGAATCACAATTAAGCGCATGGATTTGCCTGCACAAAAGGACCAGAAACGGCCCGTTCACATTTGTATTGGGTGGTATTTGCAAGCGTTTTCAAAGACTTCACACAAGACCTCATAAATAAAACTGAGGACTTCTCCAGAAAATTCTGGATTTCATCACCTAGAAGCATACGAATCTTCTAGGATCAACCTGGTAACAAACACAGAAGGGAATAAAAAAGAAAAGGCAAAGCGCACAGCGTGTGATATGCCGAGGATCACAGTAACTTGTCGGGATGCCATAGGCGCACACAGCGCTGCAAAGAGCCTCTCGCTTCCCCGGCTCAGCACGGGAGCAGCCCACGCTCCGTGTGCCGGTGCGGCGCTCGCTGTGCGTCCCGCTGTTCCCGGCAGCCGGGACCACCGGCCGCTCTTTGTTCCGGGACCCCCGCAGGGCCCCGTGCGGCTCCTCCCGTGCGGAATGCGGCGAGCCTGTCCCCGCCGGCCCCTCCTCACGGCTGCGGGCATCGCCGGGCGCGGCGCGCTCCGTGAGTCCCGGGAGGCAGGAGCCGTCTGCCCCCGCCGCAGGGAGCGGCTGAGTCACGCTGCCCCGAGAGGCGAGGGGGCGATGCGGGCAGCCCCGCAGCCCCGCCGCCACCCCCGCCCGCCGCGCAGTGCTCACCGAGCCCGGCCAGCCGCTCCACCAGCCCCGCGGCGCGGAGGGTAGCGGGGCCGTGGTCCACTCCTCCCCGTTTCTGCGAGACAAAGAGAGGAGAACGCGTCAGACAGCGCTGCCGGCAGCCAGGTGCGCAAGCCCCGCCGGGGAGCGGGAGCAGGGCGACCGCGGCACCGAGCGGCACCCGGCGCGCCCCGCGATGCCCACCTGGCCCCTGGAGAGCGGGGCTCCCACCAGCGCCACGGAGTGCGCCCGGCGGCGCGGCGGGAGCGCGGTGAGGGGCCGGGCGCGGAGCAGGCGGGCGAGGGGCTCGCGCAGGGCCATGGCGGGGCGATGCTGCTGCCGCGCGCCGCCCGCGCCCCGCTCTCTTCAGCGCTCCGCGCCGCCCCCCGCGCGCCGCCGCCCCGCCCCTCGCGCCCCCGCGCCCCCGGCCAACGGCAGCGCGCGCGCACGGAGGTGTGTCCCGCCCCCCCCACCCCCCGCGCGCGGCCCCGCCCCGCTCCCCTCACGGCCGCCCGGGGTTTTTCCACTGCGGCCGCCTCGGGCTCCCGCCGGTGCGGCAGCGCTGCCGGGCCCCGCGGGGCCGCCGCACCCCCTCAGGCCGAGGGCAGCCGCTGTCGCACCCGCCCCGCCGGGACACAGGCGGGGGCTCGGAGACGAGCAGCACCTCAGCCGGGCTCCCTGGTTGGCCACAGCGAGCTCGGGAGCCTCCGTGCGGGCACGCTGCTCCCTGGCTTCGCTGGAGAAACACGGGTGACGCTCATCACCTGATGGCCTTGATAAAGCACTGAAGGACCACCTGTCCAGCACATCGTGGCTTGAGACGATTCTCAGAGGTCTCCAGCTGTTCCTATTCGAGGCACATTTGAAGGATGATTAACAAATGAGTTAAAAACAAATTAAAGTCCCCATCTTTCCCTTCTGTGACAAGGCAAGATGACTCCCACTGTCGAATGTGCAGTCTTTCTGTACAAGCTTGAAAGACAAGCTTACATTTCATGACATGACAGAGCAGAAAAATGGTTAAACAGGGAGTTGCCAGTGACACACACAAAAAAATCCAAGCAGTTTTGCTTTTTCCTCTTAAGATTTCCAAGTTCTCCTCCCATCTCTATGTCAGTAACTCCCCCATGCCTTGTGAATGTGAATTATTGTTAACACTCCTCCAGGAGCTCACGTTTCATTCCATCCTGTTTACTGACCTGGCTGTTCATAGTGCTTTTACTTCTTCTACCTCCTACTCCGATTTTTCTTTCCCTTTCTTCCTGTCCCCACCTCTGAAGCTGTCATACCAGCTGTCATAACTCATGTTTATTTACTTCAGTCCTTCTCACCTGCCATTTCAAACTTTTCTTCCCTCTTTAAAAAGCCGCTTTTCAATTTATTGGGGTTTTGTCCTTGTTTACTTCATTGATGAACTTCTTTCATCCTCTTTTGAACTTCAGTATTTTTTTCTCCATTTCTGCAGTTCATTGTCTGCTGTTACTTTTTTCCCTTTCAGCCCATCGGTACACCTGGTCTCTTGTGTCATAGTGAGATCCTGGACATACTGCACAAGACTGCCCACGGATGGCAGCCATCAGCCACTCCACCAGGCAAAGCCAAGACCTTGGTAGTGATTCTCTGATGCCCATTGGTTTTTCATGTCTCTTAAGACTCCTTTGCTGCCCCTGTGAGAACAAATTTACAGGTTTTTTATATATATAGTATCCACCCAAGAGCTCTGACATTACCATGAATTAAGTAAATTGCTCCCAGAAAGATGGCAACTGCGATTAAAGCTAACGCTCAGAAACTGTGGTAGAAGGGGAAAAATATAGAAACGCCAAAGAAATCAGGATGGCAGTTTGAAAGCCACAGAGCTGTAGTTTTGTATTACTGCCACGTAAGTCACATGAAGTAATAACTGAAATGCCTTAAAGGGAACACAATACAAAGACTCATTAAGTCTTTATGGAAAGCCAAGTCTCCAATTTACTACGTATTTAGATGGCAAAGGACCAGAAAACTCTGCTTTAAACCTTGGGAAAAAAAAATCCAAAGACCTTGTAGCTAAGTGTGGTACAGATGAGAAAATACATTTATGGAGTTGCAGATGGTAAGGACAAAGGGGGGAGAGACAACCTTCTTGAGGAGAGGAGGTTGCATGGAGAGCTCATGGAAACTTTCCAGTATCTAAAGGTGGCCTTCTGGGAAGCCAGAGAGAGACTTTTCATCAGGAATTGTAGTGATAGGACAAGGAGTAATGGCAAAAGGGGAAATTTAGGATAGATATTAGAAGTTTTTTCCTTTGTGTGTGCTGAGACACTGGACCAGGTTGCCCAAGGAGGTTGTGAATGCCCCAACCCTGGCAGTGTTCAAAGCAAGGCTGGATAAGGCCTTGAGCAACTTGATCTGGTGTGAGGTGTCCCTTTCCAAGGCGGGTGGTATAGAACTAGATTGTCTTTAAGGTTCATTCCAACCCCTTAACAGTTTGTGATTCCATGAAATCCTCCGTCTCTTCATCACGGCAAGAGACACGGGCAGCACCACTAACCCGTGTGCCCTTTAAAACTCATACTCCATAAACAGAGGGAGCAAGCAATGAATTGTCAACATGTGCAAACCGCAGAAAGCGCTGATGTCATCGGGATTAAGGACGGACGCCGAGCGAGGTACAACAAGCGGAACAGCCCACTGGCAGCACCACCCTGCGGCCCGGGCGGCCCGGAGCGAGCGAGCGGAGCCGAGAGCCGGCCGTAGGCTCAGGCTCCTCCCGCGGGAGGCCGGCCGGCCCGGGCCCCGCCTGCCCGGCATGGCGGAGGAGCGGCGCTTTCTCTCGGCCTCCGGGGTGCCGATCGCGCTGCGGCGCCGCCAGCACAGCGCGTCGTGCCGGGAGCTGGCGGTGCGCGGCCCCCGCCTGCAGCTGCGCTCGCTCAGCGCCGCCACCTCCGCCGTCTGGCTGGCGGCCTACGGGCTCTTCGCGCTCTGCGAGGTACCGGCCCCGCCGCGGCTCGGGCCCGGCCCGGCTGCGCCCCTCAGCCCGTGTCCGCTGTCGCAGCGGGGCACCGCGGGAGTCCCACGGGCTGGGCAGCCTTGGCTAGCGGCGCCCGGGGCAGGCAGGGCGGCCGCAGCCCGTGGGAAGGCGCTCAGCGCCGCTCCGGGCATCCCCCGCGCCCCGGGGACGCCGGGCCGATGGGGTGTGCTGGCAAAGGGAGAGCTGTGCCAGCCTCAAGGCCGTGGGCTGCCACCTGCTCGCCCCGGTGTCATGTCGGGTGCCTCTGTTGGTTTGTAGCCTCTTAGACAGAGAGGGTAGATTTATGTCTGCGTGCTGAGTGATGCCTGGCACATACTTGTGAGTCCAAATAAAACGTGCTCACTTGGAGAGATGAGTTGTGAGAATCTGAAATTAAGGAGGAATTGAAGAAGGTGAATGATTTTTAATCCCCAAAAGGATTTTTTCTGAGAGACTCAGCACTGCACCATGAATGTCATCAATTTTCACAATTTTTGGATTTATCAAAAACTGGACCCAGATCAGTTATGTCCAGACTGAGTCCAGTAGCTTAACCAAACAAGCTGGTCACTGTGACCCATGCTTTGACTGTTTGCACATCCATTTTTTTCAGTAATCTTTCCTAAGAAATGAAGATAGAGATTGCATTATAAGTCAGTCGTCAGGAGTCAGACTGGAATAGATGGCTCATGTCTGAGTTTCATTTTTCATGAAAGCATACAGTGGGTTACCACCCACTGCCTTCCTGCTTGCCTTTACACACACTCCTGCAGCCTACATGCAAGTGACTGCAGTTCTTCTTTTTGCCAGGAAATCAGGTCTGAAAGTCTCTTTGTGGATTTCACTATTTGTACTTCATGACTGTTTTTTTCCCCTGTGATAGCAAACTTTTGGAGAAGTCCTGTATACTTCCTGAAGCCATGGCTTCTTAACTCACATGGTGGTACAGGCTCAGCTTGAATGGTGGGGCTGTGCAGTTCTTTAGGAAGTGTCTGTTATAACTCTCATTAGTGAGTAAGTGGCCTGGAGTTCTCTAAAACTTGTACCAGAAACAGATGGTAGGTTTTGGACCTTTAGAATTTATTACCAGGTCTTCAGATGACTTACTGTGGACTATAGTGTCATCAGTTATATGTTAAAATGTAACAGCAGTCCCAGGATTGCAGCATGCAAAAGACATTGATCCTTAGAAAAAGTACAGGATAAAGCAGATTTTCTTTGCATTGGTATTTAAGGCAAAAAGAGGCTGAGGTTTGAACAAGTTTAGACAGGCAGTTCATAGTAAGAAAACCACCAGGGCAGTGTTTATCCTGAAGGAGGGTTCCTCCACTGTGAAAATCCACCCTTGGTTCCTGTAAACATTTCACAACACTTTTTTGTCAGTGACATCATCTTTAGAAGTTGGCATAATGCACTCTCATTGACACAAATGGCTTGTTTGGATTGAGATTTCTGCATTGAACTTGGAAGGAAATAGAATTTTCTTGCAGTTTTTAGTTTCAGCTCCCAATTCTTTTAGTGCATACTGCTAAGACTGATTTAAACTTCACTACATATATATCAGCCAGTCAGGTGAATAAAATGACTCTACCTAAGTAAAAATGCTTTGCACCTGTAGCTTTAATATACAATTTACTGTGCAATTTTACTTTCTCTAAAGCTGTGTTAAAGTAATTGTAGTACCAGAGCTCTGCCTTTTCTTGTGTTACAGAACAGCATGGTGCTCTCTGCTGCCATCTTCATCACGCTGATCGGCCTGATCATCTACCTGCACTTCGTGAAGATTGACCAGGAATCCCTGCTGGTCATCGGCTCACTTGGCATTCAGGTGACTTCAGCCTATGCCTCAGGGAAAGAGAGCACAACCTTCATTGAGATGGGGCAAGTGAAGGATGTGGTTATCAATGAAGCCATCCATATGGTAATCATACTAAGTCTGTCTTCTTGTGTCTGGGCACACTCACAGCCAGTGTATTTTCATGAGCATGATTTACCAGAGCAATTAAACACAGCACTATCCATAGATTTACTAGCATCAGGAGCTTTATTTCAGATTTATTCCTTATTCTGTCATCTCTCACCTTCAAAGGAGAACTCAAACCAAACAAATAACCTCAAAAAGCCAAATCCATCCCTTGGATAATGCCACTGGCATTGAGCTAGTGGGTTTAGTTCTTTCTGTTATGCTGTTCTTACAAATCTTGATGTCCAGCTCCATATGTAATCAGGATGGAGATGAGAAGCTGTGACAACACAAACAATTGTTTTTCTTGTTGCCGGAGTTTTCTACAAAGCTCCTGTAGAAAAGCAGACCTTACCCTTCCAGCTAGGGTGTCTTCTTTTCAGGTTAAAAACTTAATAGAAAAAAATAGGCAAAATGATTTCTTTATTGAGTGAAAGCTATTGATAAAAATTTGTAGACTTGACTGTGACCTGGCAGGATTTGCCTTCAGCCCAGTGAGTTGAAACAGATCCTATTCCTGTGCTAACTCCAGGCAGTTTGATAGCATTTTTATACTCCAGTGACTTTTGTCTGTCTGTCTTGTAGCAAAAAGTTATCTACTACCTGTGTATCCTCCTCCAGGACCCTGAAGATCCTCAGGGAGTATCTGAGGTTGTGCCACTCTTTCAGGTGAGTTTGAATGGTGGAGAGATCCAGATGGTGGTCTCTGTGTGTGCATCAGTTGTCTAAGCATATTTTTTTTTCCGCTACAGTAGCTGGTGACAGTTGCCTTTCTCTGGCTGGGCTGTCAGGGTGGGTGGCACTTGAAGTCTCACAGAACTACGTAATGGGGATGGGTTTTTTCATTTGCTCTCCATTCAAACAGCAGGGAGTTGTGTCAGTCTGAACCCAGCCAGGAGTTTGCATGAACTAAAAGTCTTTGCCTCCCACAGGGTGCTGAGGACTTGTAGAGCTTTCTGTGCAGTCCTGTGCTCAGTTACCACCGTAACTCTGGCAATGTGCTGCAGTTGATTTTTCCCTTAGCTCTGTGTACCAAAAGTTCTCATAAATCCTCCTTGACATTCGAATGACTTCCTCTGCCTGCCCTGCTGACAAAGATCATGGTACAAGCAGTGACCAATTTGTTTAATGTATCATAACTTGTTTGTGTTGCCATTACCTCGTCTCCCCTCTCTCTTCTCTTGCTAACGTGTTCTGACTGTTCATAATCCCATTTTTGGAATGGATTTGCTTTGTGTGTGTTCATGCCTAACACAACAGTGCCCTTATCCATGAGGGGTGGTAAGCAGCACAGAGGTACCTCACTTCTTAGATTGCTGAGCTGTAGAGCCCTCTCTGTCCTTAATTCACCTGCTGCTGGTGACTGTTTTGTAATCTGCCAACAGTTTGTGACTGGATACAGTCAGTTTGAATACTTAGGAGTATAAATAGTCTATCCATTTACACTTTCTGCTAACTCAGTCCCACAATTGTAAAGATCTTTAGTAACAGTAATATAAATTAGATATTTAGTAACAGTAATATAAATTATATATTTCACATATAAACAAGGGGAAAAGTAGATTTGCTGGAAATCAACAACTACTAAATTCCAGATAGCTGCATTCAAGTACCTGATATTAGTTAGATATGTTGCTTTCCAGGTCTGCCTGGCATCTGTATTGCTGTATTGTTTCTCTTTCTTTTTTTTTTTTTTTTTTACCATTCAACTCTGACCAGTTTTGTTTTCATGGAAATACCTTAGCACTGGTAGAGTTGACTCCGGCAGCATAGGAGGTATGGAACTCTTCCATTTTGAAATGCAGTGCCTGTCTGTAATTATTTTAACACGCAAGTTAGTATGTTAGTTTTGAAGGAACAATGATTAGTACCTTTATTGTGTCTCCTTCACTGGGTTTCTCTAAGTTATGGCAGCCTTCAAAAATACAATTTTCTGTGTCACTCAGCCCAGGAGCCTCACTGCACTGATTTGACCTTTTGTTCTCTCAAGCAACTCTTGCAAGGAGGCATTTGATGGACTTTACACAGTAATGCTGTTGTGGGAGCTCAAAAGTTATAGGATCATAGTGACTGTGGGACCATGAAACTTTCACTTCCTTGCTGGTTTTCAGCTGGTCCAGGTTAGAATTGCTGAAAAATCATTGTACTTTGACCTCTGTTTGCTGTTTGGGTAAAATTAATTGGCGTTTCAGTTCAGAGCCTGATTCTCTGTTGTTTGACTTCTAGAGCTCCAAACCACGACTGGACTGCTTGATAGAAGTGTACAAAAGTTGTCAAGAGATCCTGGAGCAGAGGAAGACAGCTCCACAATCAAGTGAAATAAAATAGCTGAAAAAAAGACAGCAAACTTTCAGCAGGACTCAGAGGGACACATGGAAAAGCAAGAAAAACTGCCCCATTAGCAGAACTTTTTAGGCTCAGACAGAAGAAGCTTTTTCTTGCGTCTCCAGAAAAGAATTATGGGGAAATAGGGCAAAGGGAGACAAGAAAATGCATCCATTTTTTACTGTTTCATGCATCTGAAAATTATGCTAAAATTAGAAAATAACCTTGGCTGGACTGCTATAAGTATGCATGTTTTGTGTTTTTTTTAACCCTTTGTTTGAAAATCACACTCTAAATATCAAAGCTAATGTGTGGGATCAGATAGTAACTTCCTGAAGACAGGAAAATTTCAGAAGGACAAAACCAGAAAATTAAACTGTTGCATTCTGTTATGTTTAATGGAATAAACATAAAAGAGATCTGAAGACTGACCTCTTCAGGGATCTGCTTGAAGGAGTCCCATGTGATGGGGTCCCTAGAGGGAAGAGGGATCTGAGAAAGCTGATTGATAGTCAAGGATCATTTCTTCTGAGATCAAGAACAGTCCATCCCAATGAGCAGGAAGTGAAACAGAAATACCAGGAAGCCTGCATGGATGAGGCAAGCTGCTCCTGGCAATGCTTGAACACAAAAGGGAAGTGTACAGAGGGTGGAATTAGGGACAGGTGATGTGGGAGGAATATAGCAACACTGTTCAAGATGCAGTTAGAAAAGCTAAAGCCCAGCTGGCGATGAATCAGTTGAAGGATGTCAAAGGCAACAAGAATGGTTTCAGTAAGTGCTTAACTGTCAAAAAGAGCACAGGGAAAATGTGAATCCATTGCTGAATGGGGCAGGGCCTGCTGACACGGGACATGGAAGAGATGTGGCATTTAAAGGGCCACATGAGTTACTCTCAGAATATGAGGCACATGTGTTGTTGAAAATGATGGTAATGACAACTTGAATAAAGTTTTATTAATCTGTGCTCTTTGCAGTAACTCAAGGTTGGGAAATTCTTCTTTGTTGACAAGCTAAAAGTTACTGTAACACTTAACTGGTATTTTTCTCTCTATATTCCACAACTCCTTAGTAATATTAATGAGGTGACTGAAATGTCAAAAGCTAAACCCACAAGTTGGCAGGAGCCTGGATTCATGCTTATTTTGCATACAATGCTATACCATGCTTGTCCACATAATCTGTAAATGAACACTTGGCACCATACCATCATGCAATAAGGTAGAGATAGGGGGATTTGTGGTTTTTTTTCCACAGTCCTACAAAGTTTGAAAGACAGAGGTTAGTTAGCTCATGTCACAGAAGTATTCTCATTGTCCAAGTGAAAGGCAGCAGCTTGGGGAGGTGCCACTGCCTTTTGTGTCAGAAGAGAAAAGATGGCTCAACAGAGTGGACAGAGTCATGGGCTCAAGACTGTGCTGGAAGTGCTGACTATGCTGTAAAAGTCCTATGAAGTCCTCAGAATGTGCACTGAAGAAATTACCAAGAAGCTGTGTCACAGCAAGAAGTCTGAAAGATAGGTTCAGCAATCTTTTGAAGGAGTAAACATCCTATGCCCATGGTGTAGTTGCCCACTTAAGCTAAGAGAAAATCAGCAGAGAGAAACAAGGAATCAGTCTAGGGCAGGTTTATACCAGCTATGGTTTGTGCCTGGATACCAAACACAATCTATGTTCATTTTTGTTTACATCAAGAATATTTTGGCTTTTAAAATAGTTTATTTCATTCTGAGAATAATACACATTTAATTCATGGTTATTAATTCATGAGCTACATTTTATTAAGACCAAACAGAAATCTCACAGTATCTTCCAGACAGCCTTTTACTTACACACAGCAGTTAGGAACACAAAGGCTTTTGTCATCTCATTCTATGCAGCATTAACAGTCATTGCCAAAAGCATTGATTAAAATAAAAAATTATTTTCTCTACCAAAGAATCATACAAAGTAGGTATCTACATAGGGTGGGGTGTTTGAAGACAGGTAAGCTATAAATAGGAGGGGTGTGTGCATCCATCAGAGTGGGGTGGTCCCTGAAACACTCAAGTATTGGTGAATATTTTTAAGAAATAAGGAAGAAAGAAAGAAAGTTTTGTGTATCATGCTTCTCAATTTAAAGTGCAATTGTGGCAAAAAATAATGAGTTTCAGGAGAGCTGCTGTTTATTTAACATCTCTGCTTCCTGTTTGCCCTGGTACAAGTCTCCTCAAGTCTCTGAGGACATGAGGAAATACAGCCTGGGGACTTCTATGCCTTGAGTGTCCCCAGCACTGATGACAGCTCCAGCCTATTCTGAAGCAGCTTTGTTACTGGTGGGATACCAGAAGCAAATTGTCAAACTGACCTTCAGATACAGAAGAAATTGTCAGGCACAGGTGACAGAGTGAGCAGGAGTAACACTGTGTATTCTATCTGACACTGCTGAACTAAGGTAATTGTGAGAGAGAGGGGAAATACAAGCTACTATCAGGACATAGAGAGACTGGAAAGTATCTAAGGGAAAACAAAAATTGCTAAATATCTTCTTAAAGTTATTTTTGGCTCAGAAAACTTCTACCCTCCTCTGTACCTTCAAGGGATGGTCTTTAAATTCATAACAAGTGGGTACATTACAGTATGTGCAAATCAGGTCACTGTTCATAGAATCTTTTCCTGTCTTAGGTCTGCCATACTGTTTCTGTAAGTCACCAGAGGATGGTTTGGGATTGGGTTTGTTTTGTTTGGTTGTTTGTGGTTTTTTTTCTTTTATATTACAAAGATGCTGATGAGGGATTGCTTAGAACATATTTTGTCTGCCCCCTGCTCTTCTCTTTTAGTCTGTGGCCTTGCACTCATCATAAGCATTAAAAAAATCCTTGATCTATCGGCTCCCCCGTGTGCATTAGTTGGATGTGTCAAGGTTGGGTGGCAGGAACTAAGGAGTAAAAACACTGGTATGGTTGGTTTGTTTATTTGCAAATAACTGGTTTGCTATTACTGACTTTGGTCCAGTGGTTGGATTAATACTGTTTTAATTTGGGAAAGCTGCCCATGAATGCATAATTATTATGAAATTGAATGTGGTACTTTCCAAAGTGCAGTTATTCTTCCTTAGCTTTTTTAGAATGCTTCTCAAAATAGCTGAACTTAAACTAAGTAGATTTAGATTTTTTATGAAGAACTGATATTTTTCCTTTATTTGTTTAAAATTCAATAACTTTCTCATAATGAGGTCACTTTGAAACAGATAAAAAAAAATCAAACCTACCAACATTCTTTAGGAAAGTCAGAAGAACATGAGTACACAATTGCTGACTACCTCCTCCTTGCTTATGGTACATGAAGGAAGCAGGAGTTTAAAAGCAGCAGCTTCTGTCAAGTCAGAATGGCAGAGCTTGTCTGGGAAGTTCTGTCCTAGTTGCTGAAAGACAGAAAAAATACAAAATTTGCTTGCCTTGTCTTTTTTTTTCTGAGATAATGTGCAGTTCCAGACACATCTACAACAGTGGTTATCAGAAGTGTTAGAAAGTGCTTGTCTGAGAGCGGAGCATGTGACACACGGAGCCCTGCCCTGCAGCAGCAATCTGATGTTCATCTATTGCATAGAACAGTGTCAGTTTCCAAAAGGCACCGGTCCTGTAGGTGCCAGGGCATTCTCTGACACTGTCCAGGTCCCAGGTGTTCCCAGTACTCAGCATGAAAGGACCCTAGGCTTCCACCTTTATTTAAAGTTGAAAATACTCTTAAGTACTGTTGAACTCTAATTCTATACTCACTATTTCAGGTCTGAAATCACCCTTGACTTGCATCAGAATTATTCTTGTGAGTTTAATTCCTCTTCCTTCTTAGCAATGTCTTTCTTTCATGTCTGAGCAATAACACAAAAGTTTATGTTGTTTGAAATCTGAAAATGGGAGGGATCAAAGAAAATATATGTACTTGTAAACCAAGGCATTACAGTAGGAGATGGAAGAATGAGTGCAGCTGTAATGACTGGAGCACTGTGCAGGCAAATGACCTGAGGAATGGTATTTTGGATGGAATGTGTCACAGAAAGGAAACTCCCACACAGTCCCCCAAATCAACTTTTTTTTTAAGAGAAAGTACACTGCCTCTACCTCTAAGGAACTTTGTCTATTATTATGGAAAAGGAATCAGAGCCTGCATTAATCTGTGGTATATAACCAACAAAATCAGCTCATGTGGAACAAGCCCTTAGAGCAGGGTGGGCCCCTTTGTGCTTCGGGGCACGGAAGGGAAAAAGCACCGATTTTCAGTCTCCCAGGGCTTCTTAGCAGGTGCTTGGCTTGGTGAGGGCTGTGTGGAACACAGCAGGGAAGGAGTCCAACGATAGTTAATGTAGCTGGCAATCAGAAGTGTTGCTTCAACAATCTGGGGAAAAGAGAAAATGATTAACTGTAGGTCAATTACAGGTAAGAATGCCCTTTGATTTTAGGATCTATTGACTGCATGGCTTTTGTAAATGGCTTTCTCCCATGGAATTGTTCAGTTTTAAAATGAAGCCCTGTCTTTAAGAGTTAGGTAGAATAAGTCTCTTGTTGAAAGGTTCCAGCTTACAAAGGATCTGCTGAATATATATAGCTAGTGCAGCAGCCACAAGTACCAGTCCCCAGGGCTTGTACAAAACACCCAGCCCTGATGCTGCCAGCTGGAAAGAAACTCACTTTTCATTTGTAATTACCTTTGGAATTGCCATTGTGAAGAGGAGTTTTTCAGTGCTATTTTTTCCAGAACTTCTTTCTTTCATTTTACTGACTACAATCATGAAGTCATCTCGACAGCCTCCAAAGGTCAGCACAGAAGAGTATGAATAAGAGACTTTCAAATGCTGCAGACAGAGAGTTTGAAAAAGTCATAGTTCTGTAAAAACCTCCAAATGTCTACCTTAAACTAATATATTAGTTTATATTGCTACTTCCTGCAAAAACACCAGATCTCCACCAGTGAAGGGCAGTAGATGGCTCTAAAGGTAAGAACCGGCAGAGAAAGCTCAAGTGAAAATTGCATTTCTAGTTTTCTCCTGGTGTGCTCAAGGCGTCACTACTTCATAGTACAGATTTTGTTATATTCCAGATGGTGGTAGTAAAGCACACACCACTGAGATTTTGCAAGATGTATGAACATGTTTGCTGCCCTACCTTAAGCTGCAGCTGTAATTTTCCTTTGTCTGTGGAGTGTTCAAACATAACACTGCCTTCCCTCATCTCTGACTTTTACAAACTAACTTCTAATAATAATTCACATTTGAAGTTAAAGACAAACTGTTAGTGACTTTCACTGGACTCATGGGAATGTCTTTCTGTGCTAGGTAAGGTATTCCTCTGAAAGAGTGTTCCTCAACATACCATTGTGTTATAATCCAGTATGCTGATACCATCTTCGTTCACAGCTATCCAGACTGGACTGTCTTCCAGGGAGGAAGGCAAAATAGGCTAGAGAGAAATAAAATTATGAATTCAGGTATTTCTTGAACACCACAGAATGATATTTCTGATATAAATGTTGAGATTTAAGGATAAAGTGAAGATGAGAAAAAATCCTAAAGGCTTATTACTAAAGGCTTACTGGTGTGACCTGGTTTGATTTTTAAGACAGCTTTCCCCAAAATTTGGAATAACATTTTCAGATTTACATACACTTTTTGGAGTAGTGGCACAAGAGATACAAGGATAACAAAGCCTTTGAAATTAATTAGATGCCATCAGTGTGGTTAAAAATGAAGGAAATGCTAGGACAGAGCAACAGCATGGCAACTCTGCTCAGCACACATGTTTATACTGCTCCTATCTGTCAGGAAGGCAGTGAAACCTGCTGGTTTCTATACCAAGTACCATCACATCAATGCCATTTTGTTTCTTACAAAATCTTACAGCAAATGTGCATCAATTGTCTGTTGAAGATGACTTGTTTTGATTAACAACAGAAAATCTTTCCTGGGAATCTGCTATTACATGGCTAATGCCATAGGCTTTGCTGTTTAATTGCTGAAAAGTTATAACATGCATTAATCATCAGGAATACCAACATTATTTCACCTGTGGGTCCACCTATTCTATATTCTGATTCTTCAGTATACTGAATTACATATTCTGTCAGTAGCCTCAAATACCAGTAACCTCTTTTAGTCCTGACAGTGGAAATAATTGTCTTTCGAAAAATATATTGTATATTTATTACTATTTATTTTCTTGTATATTTATTCAGGAGGTCCCTTTCATCATTAGACTTTTCTTCTGTAACCAGAGCAGCTTTGACTTCAAAACAAGAGACATTCCCTCAAGCTTTCAGCAGCAGAAATTTCTGCTGGGATGGGAAAGATGGTTAATGCCAAAACCTGTCTGATTTCTCAGACAGCCATTATGTGCTAACAAATTAGTTCAGGCATGAGCAACAGGCACAGAGCTCTAGCCTGGAATGGGGTGAGGGATGGTACAAGCTGCTGGGGGAAGCACTCCCTGCAGCTGTTCTTTGCTCTCCCACCTGTGGGCTGGCTCCTTACCCAATGTGTACTTTCATTTCTGTTTCTGCAACAGGACATTAAGAGTACTTGCCTC